CTCTTCTTGGGTCCACCACCGGTGCTCTGGGCCCCTCCCTCTTGCTGCGTGCCCCCATAGCAAGCTGCTTGCTACATCCCCCAACCCTGCTCTCTCTGTCCATAAGACTCAGCCCCACCCCGCTTCCTCCATACTGGCTGTGATTGACAGCAGTGGGAGCCTATGAGGAGGCAGAGCCACTGCTCTCGTGCACATCGCTGGATCAGGATCAAGCGGGGGGAGGGGGAAGCTGCACACTGAAGGTAAAAAAACTTCAGCCTTTAGAACCAGTCCCTAAACTTGCCTTGGTATCAGCCTCCTGCAATAAGAGGGAGGGAGAAGACTGGGAGCCAATCAAGTGTACGGCATTGCTTGTAAATGTACAGATAAGGGAAGAATGAGAGTGAGCAGGAAGATGACCACATCAGTTTCCTACTGCTCTTTCACTGCCCATTCAGAGAGCTGGGGGTAAAGGGAGGACAGTACTATATTCCTTCTACAGTCTATACCTGTAGAAGCAAAAGTGGGGGCATTCACCAAGTGGTGCTGTGTGAGAGGGCAGTGGAAATCTCAGGACTCTATGGACTGAATTTATATCCTTTGGCTTTGTTATATGCATATTTGGCTGTTTGGAATTGAGCTTTAAAGTGTTACTAAACCCAGGACCCTGCATTCACTATATCTGCTCTCCCACAGTACACACAACATGGAAATGAAATTAAGTTAGTAAATATAAACTGCTAAATTCCTTTTCTCATCAGCAGTTAGAGCAGTCTTGTGACTTCTATCAGTGTCCAGCAGAGCACTGGTTAAAGTTTGTAGGAGGAGATTTCTTTCTGCTCTACGAGGATGCAGAACCCCTGACCTCTGTCTGGACAGCACAGATTGGCCCTGTGCTGATCACATGCACTCTCCCAAGCAAAAAAAAAAACCCTCTCTAGCAATACACACCAAACTGAGCATGTGCAGACTGACTCCACATGTTATGTATCAGGAGCTAAGAGGGAGACACTGGAAGATGGGAAGGATCAGAGAAGACAGGATCAAACATCCTTTTTACACAATGCAGAGGATTAACCCCTTAGATTGCACAGTGAGTATAACAAGCATGCTTTACTGCATATACAGACTGATTTTACTGTTGTGGGTTTAGTAACATTTTAAAGTAAGCCGAAGTTTCACATACTCCCCTAATCCAGCAATGTCAGGGCACAGCAGGCAATTCCGGATCCCTCTGTCTGGGACTTGGTCAGTGTCAGCATCCGGGTGCCAGGAAAGCTTGGGTGCTCTGAATTACACTGCCTGTATTTTCTGTATTAATGGACTAGATGCCGGGTCCTACTCCTCCATCTTCCAAGCCTCACCAGGGTCAGTGTCAATTTAAAGACTTTTTCTAGGTTTCTATGCTAAACATGAGAATTCCCAATATTGGGGTGGATTTACTAAAGGCAAACAGACTTTGCACTCTCTGAGTGCAGCTGTTCCGAAGTTCACTTGACTTCCATCATCCAATCATGTGCAAGCAAATACACTGTTTTTGCATTTTCCTTGCAGGTGATTGGGTATTCTTTGTAAAGTGAGGCTTTACCTCATTTACTAAGCTCTGGGGCAACTGCACTTGCAAAGTGCACAATCTATTTGCCTTTAGTAAATCAGCCCCTATGGGTTTTCTTTTAGACCTATACAAGTCTTCTTAGAAGACCATATGGCTCTTTTTTCACTCCAAATCCCCCTAAAAGTATTTTGATATTAAAGTTGTGCTACACAAAGGAGGACGAGAGCAGCAGTAAAGGACCTAAACAAAAAATTTTTTTTTCCATTTTCCTTGCATGTGATTGGGTATTCTTTGCAAAGTGAAGCTTCACTCCATTTGTTAAGCTCTGGAGCAAATGTTCTTGAGTGCAAATGCACTTGCAAAGTGCATATACTATTTGCCTTTAGTAAATCAACCCCATAGTGACCTTCTTGGAGTTTTACTGGTCGCAGCAAGGTATAAGGCGGGGCTGCATGCTGTACTTTTTCAGCCGCAATGTGTTGTTGTGAACTGACCTAGTAGCAGACAATGCATTTTGCATTGCCTTGTGGTGGGACTGGGCTGCAATAGTTGCCTAGTGAAGTCCCAATGCTCCTGGTGTGAACTGGCCTTTACACTAGCTGCATGCCTAAGCGTTTTCTGCAGCGTTTTCAGAAACGCAGTACAGTCCATTTAACATGATTTCCTATGGGAAATGTTCATATCTGTGCGTTTTTTTGGAAAGGGTCAGGGACTTTTTTTAATGCAAAAAGTTGCATTTTTGGTTCTATAGACTTCCATGGAACGCTGCAGAAAAGCATGTATTGCGTTTTTGACGCGTTTTTGATGTGTTTTGGATGTGTTTTGCGTTATGTATCTGCCTAGCAACAAGAAAATAAATAAATAAATAAATAAAAACACAAAACGCATCAAAAACGCAGGTGCACAAATGCAAAACACAATGCAGAAACGGCTCAAACGCAACCTGCATAAGTGTGATCCTAGCCTTAAAGTGTATGTAAACGCTAAAATTTAAAGTGGAACTTCACTCTCACAATCAACATTGCCTATTTTTTTAATCCTTATGCTGCTAGCACTAGTAAAAAGATAGGAAAGTATATCATATTTACGCATTTTAAACATTTGTTTGTACATTTCTTCAGTTACTTCCTGGTTTCCTGCCTAGGAAAATGATGTCATACATCCCAGGAATTTTCAGGAGAGGAAGAAGGGTTCTCAGCTCAGCCAATGCCTGAGCTAAGGTCAGATGGATTCCAGGAAGTGAATGCTCCATGGATCATCTTCCCTTAATCAAGATGGCTGTGATAATTGTGCACACAGATATGGACGCGGACAACCATTTTGCTAAGATCCACCATCTTGTATCATACTCTGCAAATATCATTCTCTCTCCCTCCAGCCTCCCTCCCATTGCAGGAATGTGGTCTGTGTGTGTGTACTGAGTTCAGGAGTGCACAGGACACAGCTGGATATGCTTCATGGTTGTAAACCAAATTAGCTGGTCCCATGATGTCTGTCAGACCCTTGCCTTGGCCTGGTTGTAAAGATATAAATCCGTCAGTCACTGGTCATGAAAAGCATTCTGGAGTGGCAGTAAAACGTACATTCCACTGGAATCACTTTTTCATACAAATGCATAAATCCCGACAGGAATAAGGTACAATAAAACAAAGCATATATTCAGATAGGTCATTTTAATACAAGTCACCTGATACCTTACACCCCTAGATAACGTCTACCAGAGAGTAGAAAGTGATATCTCTTTATCCGTCACAGCCAGATATGTCATATTTGATGTCTGGACGTTCAGAATATGGTTCTGCATATTAACCTGCCAGTGGCTAGGCTGCTGCATGCACCTAGGAAGGTTATTGACCATGGTGTAAACTAGTGAGGGATTTGGGTCAAAGCCTGGGTCTCCGCCTAACACCCCTCCCCAAATGAGGCGATTGGCCCTTGGCTTCTGTAGACACCCCCTGCTGGGACACTAGAAAACAGGCTGTCATGCCCTGAGAGAGAAATTAAGAGATTCTCCCTTTTAACATAAGGAACCAACTTTGGGAGAAAAGAAACCCTTTTGTTCAGGACACTTGAGCTCTGCTTAAGCCCAGGACTTCTGCAAGTATTCTGCCTTCTTAAAACTTCTTTCTGTTATCTCTCTGTTATGTTATTGCTCTCTATTTATATATATATATATATATATATATATATATATATATATATATATATACGTTGGTTAAATTTTTTCTGTAAATATTTTTATTGCACCATTTTGACCCTTTTTAGTAATAAATCCTTATTTTCTGAAAAGTGTTGAACTGTTTCTAAAGCTCTTTAATGCAAACTAAGAATCCCTGTCTCTGAAGAGTGCTACTGTGTGTTTTAAAAACCTCTGGATACATCTGTCTGCGGTGACAGTGTGTATACAGACTCTTATTCAAATATTACAGCGTTACTGCTAAGATTGGTGAGTTTCCTCCTTCTCTGTAAAAAGGAGGTGGTGGCAGTGTGAAGGGTTCATTGCGTGATTAACCTGACCCAGTAACAATCGCTCTAAGGCTGCTGGCACATAGATTGTGGTCCATTAGCTGGAAAATCTTTGTACAGGGTGCAGCTGAGCGTGGCATTGTTACGCAAGTGGCAGCGTGGTTTTAGATTGGCCAGTCCTTCGGTCACAAGTTGGTGAGAAGGGCTGGGGGTCTGACGCCTCGCCCGTCACAATGGCCACTGCTAGAAATGCTAGGGGGTGTTTTTCAAATTTATTTCTCAGCAAAATAAAGCATGGAGACATGGATGGATGGGGGTGTTTGCTTTGAATATTAACAATGAATTAAATAGCGTTTCTGTTTGTGGTGCTCAGATGCAGTGCAGTTTCAATTTAACTTCTCTTATCGGGTCTCTTTTATCCTGTTAAATCTTAAATTCTCATTCACACGTGTGGCCACGGGACAAGAAAACCTGACCATCGTTTTACCGCATCCCCCAACCACCCACCTGAGCAGTGACATACTGTTGCTCACGGTTCACACATGCTGCAAACAATTGACAGCATGTTGCTTTCAGCGGGCATTGCTGCCACTGGATGCAACCAATGCAGGTCTATGGGGGTTGAACAACAACTGCCCTGCAACCACGTGCTATGCACACAATTGTAATGTGGGAGCGTGGCATTTATAGGGTTAAATCAGGCGGTGGGAAGGCGACTTATCACCTCCTGTCAAATGCTCTCTGAAAAGTGTTCCACTATGGATCACTTTTCAGAAGGCACTGCTCATGTGAACAAGCCTTTAAATCTGTTCTTTTATATCCTGCAAAAATCTTATGAGCTGGTGACTTTCTGTTCTGCACACCTGTCAGTTAGCATTGTTCCCAGCTATCTTTAACCACCTCCCATATAGTAATATGACGGACGCAGGGTGGTTCTCTTGTTCTGGGAGGACGTCATATGACGTCATATGCGTCCTCCCATTCTCACCGCAAATGCGCGGCTCAGGGAGCACGCCGCGGCGATCGGCGGTGCGCTGTGTCCCTCAGACACAGCGGATTACCGGTCACAAAAAGAGCTGAAGATGTCGGCTCGGTCATGTGATCAGCTGTGTCCAATCACAGCTGATCACATGTAAACAGGGAAATGCCAGTTATCCGCATTTCTCTCCTCTCGAGCTGTAACGCTGACAGCTCGAGAGGAGAGCCGGTAATCGGCATTCCTCGGAGGGGACATGTAAACTGATCATCAGGGCACTGATGATCAGTGTGCCCTGATGATCAGTGTAGCCCCAGCAGTGCCACCTGTCAGTGTCCATCAGTGCCTTGTGTCAGTGCTCATCAGTGCCTCGTGCCAGTGCCCATCAGTGCCACATATCAGTGCCCATCTGAGCTGCCTTTCAGTGTCACCCGTCAGTGCCACCTATCAATGCCAATCAGTGCCACCTATCAGTGCAAGTCAGTGCTGCCTATCAGTGCCAATCAGTGCCACCTATCAGTGTGCATCAGTGCCGCCTAACAGTGCCAGTCAGTGCCGCCTATCAGCGCCATGTATCAGTGCTGCCTTTCAGTGCCCATCAGTGATGCCTGTCAATGCCCATCAGTGCCATCTACCAGTGCCTCCTCATCAGTGCAGCCTATCAGTGCCCATCTCTGCAGCCTCATTAGCACACATCAGTGAAGGAGAAAAATCACTTATTTACAAAATTGTATAACAAAAACGAAGAAAAAAAACTTTTTTTTTTTCAAATTTTTCAGTGGTTTTTGGTTTGTTTAAGAAAAAATAAAAATCCCAGAGGTGATTAAATACCACCAAAATAAAGCTCTGTCACAAACAAATGATAAAAACTTCATATGGGTACAGTGTTGCATGACTACGCAATTGTCACTCCATTGTCCAGCGCTAAAAGCTGGAAATTGGCCTTGGCAGGAAGGGGGTATAAGTGCCCTGTAGGCTTGTGGTTAAGCTACAAAACACCCTTCCCTATGTTATGGAGAGAGGGAGGTGTTCTGTATGGCATGGCAGTCTGATTCAAACTAGTGCACAACAGGGGCGGAGGGGTCAGGGAATTTGGGGGGTGCTGGTTGTCCTTTGGCTGTATGAAAAAATTAAAGTTAGAACTCCTTATATTGTATGTAAGATCAAACCGCGCAAATCCCCAATCGGCTGAAGTCACAGAGCTGCAAGTATAGAAGAGGATATCATGTCTTAAAAGGCTAAAGCAAAATGGATACTGTGCTAGGTGAACCCTTAAAACTTTGTGAGCACTATAGAGACCTTCACACCTCTGAAAAGCGATCAAAAATTGAAAATTTTCTCTGGAATAGTGGACTAAATGAAGGGCGATCAACATTTGAAAAAAAATAATTGAATAAATTGAGTGAGTACAATAATCATAAATATATATAAGAAACCATGATATGTGGTCAAATTGACCTACATTTTATGCATTATCTATGAGCCCTATGAAGACCCTCACACTTCTGAAGAGTGATGGAGGTTGAGGATAGGTCAAATCTCAATGTGCAAAAATTCACCTCAAATATACATAAAAGTTAGTAGAAAAAAACCAAAAAACGTCCATATAGACATAAACCATAGTCCATAAGTATGAGAGGAAAATTCCACAATCGATGGTATTATTGTAGACAATGCTGTAAATGCAAGTAAACTTGCTTCACCTGGTCACCAGAGTGCATACCACCACCAAAGTAACGAATGGAGGCTTACCAGAAATGGAGACCCCTTAACTGCAGGGGTCCCAACCAGCTTTTTAATGTAGAGCACTGGCAGGCTTCCCATATCACACTCCAAAGCATGGAAATTCCCGGACTCCAACTCGAATGTGAATTCAAAGTGTAGTGCCAGACAAGGTCATGAAAGAAAAAACATGCCTCTCATAGTGCAATACGTATCAAAAACTTATTTATTTGCGCAAATAGGATCCTACTTACAAGCTGTAGAACAATTAAAAGCATTCACATGAACCGTAGCCAAGATGGCCAACAGCGTGGTAACATCAGAGGGAAGCTCTGCCCGACATGTTTCGTCATCAAAAGACGTCCTCTAGAGGGTGTGAGAGTCTTCATAGGATTCATAGATAATGCATGAAATTTTAGGTTAATTTGACCACACATCATGGTTTCTTTCCATTTTTTTTTTTCAAATTGTGATCGCCCTTCAGAGGTGTGAGGGTCTTCATAGGATATATGTATGCACTTATTTACTTGAACTATTACAGTGCCTTATTTTAAATTTTTGATAGCTTTTCAGAGGTGTGAAGAGCTCCTTATATGCATATTTGTTCTGTGTCACTGCCTGAATGTTCTGAAGTCTTTGGATCAGTCTTTTGCCTGCAACTGAACATGGAGCAGACTTCAAAAAGTGAAGATCTGCTGTATAAAACATATAGAAATGTTCACTGTGCCCAAGTATTACCCTGAAAAATGTACTTCTGCCTTAAACGTCTCCTAACAAATCCTACTAATAAAAAAGAGAGATTCACTTCCTGTGCTTTCAGTCCCATAGATGTACATCTGCAGCGTGAGATCTAAAGCACTGCTGCCTCTGACTGCTAGTATCAGGAGATTTTAGCTTAGATCTGGTGATGTCACTACTGCACTGTGCTCGGTTCTCCTTGCTGGAGAGGAAGATGTACCTGAGAACCTGGGGTGCAAGGATCTCCCTGCTTCTGCTTCATTCACTGTGTGGATCTGTGCTTTCTGAGCATTCAGGAGAAGGTCATATGAAGAAGCAAAGCCTTGCCTCTGCCAAGATGGCATAGAAAGTCAGTAATGAGCTATAGATCAGTGAGGCCACCATATTGGTAACTGGTCCTTTGCATTTGTATGATATTGTATGGGACAAGCTGCAGTTGACGCCTCCTTGTATTTGGTATCCATGTACAGAAGCATGCTTTTTATGATCTGTATCAGGCCTATATGTGATTTTTGTCAATTATTTGTAAAGAAACTTAAATATGTTTTTACGAGGGGCGTTCAAGTCAAATCGGGACTTTTGAGTTTATACAATAAAAGAACAAATTTCAAGGAGTGTAAACTGCATTTATTTTTTTAAATACTCCCCTGCTACATTTAGACACTTATCCCAACGTTTAACTAATGCCTGGAAAGCTTCAGCAAAGAAAGATCTGCCAGTACACCTGAACCATCCTATGACAGCCGCCTTCACCTCGTCATCATTGTGTTCACCGTTCCCACAGAAAGATTAGTCTCTTCAATGCAATTTCATGACAGTTCATGTCCAGGATCAGGTGCTCCATGTGAATGTTCACAGAAATGACTGCTGTGAGCTGGGAACCACTACGGCTGGGATCATCACTGACGGGCATACGGCCATCTTTGAAACGTTTACACCATCCAAATGTCTTATTGTGACTGAGCGCCTCATCACTGCACTGTGCTTGAAGTCTTCTGTGGATATCCGCGGGTTTTACGCCTTCGTTCACAAGAAACGTCCTCACCACATGCTGTTCCATGCACACACTAACACTGTTGTCCGCCATCTTGATTAATGGTCTCTGGACTGGTCTGCGACATGTGCGCCGCCTATCAGTAGTAGGACACACTTTCCACTTACTACTGCGTGTAGTATCACCACACTAGCATCCCTTTATATACCTGGAAAATAAAAGTCCTGGTTTGACTTGAATGCCCCTCATATATATTATTTATTTATTTCAGGTACTTATATAGTGCCGTCAATTTACACAGCGCTTTACATATACATATTGTACATTCACATCAGTCCCTAACCATCAAGGGGTGTACAATCTAAGGTCCCTAACTCACATTCATACATACACATACTAGGGACAATTTAGACAGAGCCAATTAACCTACCAGCATGTCTTTGGAGTGTGGGAGGAAACTGGAGTTCCTGGAGGAAACCCACGCAGGCACAGGGACAACATGCAAACTCCAGGCAGATGGTGCCATGGCTGGGATTCGAACCAACAACCCTATTACTACCAGGCAGAAGTGCTAACCATTTAGCCACTGTGCTGCCCAATAAAAACATGTATGTGTATCCCGCATTTGTGCCATTAAAGTCCGGCACTTTTTCTTTGGTTGAACTTTGGTAGACATTAGGGATGTGGAACCATAATGGTCTTTCACTTTTACGCTCTTCCACAGGTCAGATCCTCAGGTATCTAATTTTTTGTATGACAATATTTAAAGCTGAACTCCAGGATTAAAAAACGTTCATTCAAACGTATTCCTCAATAGGCACAAAGGATATAAAATCCACTTTGTCTGCACCAAATGCTTTTGTAAACTCAGATATCACCTTGTACAGGTAGTAGTGGCATCATACGGTGCTGTACATAGCCTGTGCAGAGAGCAGAGCTGTGGGAGGGACCCAGCAGATCCACCCACTACAAGCTGCCTACAGAAAACTACGAGAAGGGGCGGAGACAAGACCAGGCACCCTGCACAAGGAGAGAGAGCAGCAGTGAGTGGTCTTTATCACAGAAAGCTGCTGCACAGAGGTAAAGTCTCACACCGGATTACTGCGCAGATCTGCAAGAAAAACACACAGCACGCCAAGAACACACATGACGAATGGATGTAGACAATACTTGCTTATCTCTGAGTTCAGCATTAAATACATACGTATCACAATATTTTCAATACATTGTTATTCATGGTCTCTCTAAATATACAGAATATATAAAACATATTCTTTTTTGGGAAGGAATCCTTTAAACAATAGCTCTAAAAGGAACTGAAAGAATTCTTTTATTGTCATCCCGTCTAAGCTGTAGAAGTGTTATGACGCCTGTCCAGTATTCAGTGTGCAATCCGAGGACCCAGCCTGAGAAACAAATGTGGTTTCTATGTCAGAGTATGAAGAATGTTGTCACACTCCATTCCATGCTGAGTTCAGCAGCAAGCCACACTTTGCAAATGCTCTGCCCTGTTCCTGTCCCTCTGTGATAGTCTGAGCCCTGCTGAAGGCTGCAGGTACAAAATATGAATAATGCCAGGAAAGCCGGGGTTAAACCTTTAACTAGATGGATAATTCTCATATAACTTTATTTTACACATGAGAGGCTCATGCCAATAACCATCCCACCATTCCCAGTCATGGCTGACATTCAGCAGGATCTGCCATTGCTTCCCCCCCCCCCCCCATCTAACCCTCCTATGTGCCTCCCTATTCTTACAGCTAATCAGGCAGAGCCATGCAATCAGACACAACCTCCATAATAAAGCTGAACTATAGGCAGATATAAAAAATACACAAAAATTGCAGTAGCGGTAGCTTTGTGAATTACTATTATTATTATTATACAGGATTTATATAGCGCCAACAGTTTGCTCAGCACTTTACAATATAACAGGAGACAGTACAGGAACAATACAGTTCAATACAAGAGGGTTAGGAGGGCCTGATCCTGGGAGCTTACAATCTAAGAGTTGAACATTTTGTCTTTATTATTTGTGAGGGAGATGAGATACACAAAGTATTGTCCAGTCTAACAGT